CCCATCTTTCTTTACAGATTCTGTTCCAGTCCTTTTTAAAATTCGGAATAGCCAACAATTTAAGGCACACAGCAAAACAAACAAGCTGGCAACATTACTTTTAAGGCAGTTTACTCCAAGGCAGTTTACTCTCTCTGCTTGTTTAAGGAAGGCAGGTTTGCTTTGCTTGAATAAAATTCCCTGTCTGAGATCACCTTGCCTGTGGTCATATTCTCAGTACTCAGCTTGCAGCATGTTAATTGTAGAATATTGATAGAGTTTTCGGTATTTGCCAGGTTTAAACTTTGTCACGATTTGTGTATATCGTGTTTTCAATGCCTAATGTTTATTTATATCATATACTTCGATCTCTCAAGCAGCGCATTTATATTTCAGAGCTGTGAGCTTCGGTAAATGTTGTTTTGCGGCATGAACAGTGAATCCTGTATTTGCACTGAGGGTTGGGAATGAAGGTATACAGGTCTAGTCCATCCAGGTGCAAATGAATGAAATGGATTCAATAAATAACCGTTGTCTTTCTCTTGACATTTAAAGAAATGCATTAACTCGATCTATCTTGTATGGTTTATAAAAGAAGATGGTGTAAAAAGAGCTTATCCAGCAAGGCACCTGAGATCATTTTTTTTCCAAGAGTAAACAGGGGTGACTTGCTCCAACTGGAATGCGTGACTCAATGCCTTTTATAAGCTTGTCCAATAGCGTGGGCCCCCAGGGGGGTGATGGACAAGAGGTGTCACCATGGTACCAGGGCAAAGGGCGCTCTTCCCTCTTTGCCAACTGCACTGTTGTCTGCAAACCTATTACTGCCTGCCCTCTCCCCCAACCTACATACATCCTTGTCAAATCCTAATCTCCCAGAGTGTCCAGTGGACTGTTTCAGGCCTTCAACACAATGAGCCTCTGTAGTAGTCCTGGCATGCGGGGACTGGTCGGGATCCTTACTTTTTTTGTTCCCACGCATGAAATGATTTCCATTTTGTCTTTAGAGCAGAACGGTCCATTTCAAAGACTTCACGTTTGGCTGCTGAAAGAGTCCGATTCGACTGCCGGTGAGCCTGGCGGCAGGGTTCCTGCGACCAATACAGCTTCTTGTGCCGTGCTGATCAAGGGAGGAATGCTGTGATAGGCCCCTTTTTTTCCACCTTTTTGAGAGCAGCCCGCCATTCCTGCGAACTGAAAGGGCGTCTTTATCCGTAACCGGAGATGAGGTTTAAGTTCTTTCATGTACCTGCCAATTCCATCAGGCTCTTTGTGAATGCTCAATGGTGGGACTGTAGTGGAAAAGTGCGGAAAGCTGAAGAGGGTCATGCTACTGACTGTACCTCCAGCCATACCTGTCAGCATCAGTGATGTGCGATAAGACTTCAGGCATTCTGCAGATGTCTAATCCAAGCCTTAAAAAAAAAATCCTTGTCAAAAGGTAAAAAGGTTTTCAGCTGGAGGTGGAGTTTTGGTTTTTAGTCAACAGTCTAAGATCGACTTAACAAGTTTAAAGCCGGATCATAGGCACATGTTTGAAAGGTATTGTAAACCAGCTTGGTAAATTGCAGTCTGATGTGTGAAATGTTTAAAGAGTGAGGTTTTTTTTTTTTGTGTGATTGAGCTTGCTGGAGGAAGTTGTGGGTGCAGGTGTCGCTGTGATAACATATTCAGGAACAGCAGCACTTTAATCTTCTAATGTCAATATGAAAACGTGTTCTCGTCTCAATTGTATTTTGTGTAATATGACTTCTGTCTAACAAGACCAAAAAGAAACTGGGCTGAGGATTGATTGTGTGAATAGGAGCGGTTGCACAACATGTCTTGCTGGAAAGTAAAGTGAGTTCAGACAAGCTGTGCTACTGTTTTTTTTTTTCTTCTAGCAAAACCTGAGTAACAATTTGGCAGATTTATTTGATGGTCTGTGCAGGCAATGAATTCCCTGCTTGCATAATAAAAGTTACTATCAAGTCAACTACTGTTAGAAGGGTTTCCGTGACTCCTTCCAAATGGTTTTAAACCATCTGGATCAAGCACAGGCACTAAATTCAATCTGCGGTGGCTTGAAATGAATAGCTTATTGAACTGACCCAATCTGATTCGAGTTTATTTTTATTTGAAAATCTATAGAGGAAGCGTCCCAGCAGATTGTTAGCCATTTGATGATCCATGCTGTTTGCAATAATCCTCTGTTTTGTTAAACAGTCTCTGAAATTCCTCCTCATAACCTGCAAACACACCTTATGTTCCATCTCCACATTGCCGTGTTATTGCTCTCCGTAGCATTCCTGTTTTTCTGTCAAGCCATATGTCTTTGATTTTTCATTTGGCGTCTTTCTAAACATTCAGAGACTGTGTTTTGTAGGCGTCTGGTTGAGCGAGCAAAACACACCTGACTTTGAAAACGACGGTTTATTTTTTTTTTTGGACTTGGTTATAGGAGTAAAGTTTCCTGCTGGCTTTCAGAATGAACCTCCGAGGGATAGCTGGGTGAATTGGACCCACGGTGTTGTTGTTCGGGAGTCTTCTTCTGAAGAAGCTCCTCTTGAACCCCTGCTGAACACGGGGAGCGTGAGAGACCGCCCCACCCCTCTTGCATCCGCTTTCCACGTTCATAGGTTGGCCGCAAGGACTCGAGAGCAGATCTCAGGGGAAATCAGCTGCATTGTATGGAGCTGCTCCCTCTTCAAATGCATAAAATCTGCAGCCCACCCTGCACTAAACCCATCCCTCTTTTCACCGCAGGCTTTTTCGTCTTCCTCTCTGAATGAAAGACCTGCATGAATAACAAACCTCTAGAGTGTAGAGCTCTCCCCCCCATGGGACAATTCAGACGGTGTGCATTCCTCTGAAGTGTTTGAACCAGTCGGTCGCTATGGACTGACCCCCTGTCTCCGTCCATTTCTTTCGACACTCACGGAGCGAGTTACTCTTCCAGTGCAGGATGTTTTTTTCCAGGGACATGTTCGGTGACGAATGAGGCAGAGAGCGAATGAAAGGCACAGTGTGAGAGGAGAAAAGGGAGAGAAAGCTGTGAATGGTAATCAGATTAGTCTTGATCCACCTGTGTATGCGTGCGTGTGGGTAAGCAAGCGGTGCAAAACATCAGTGCTGGCATAGACTAAAGATCTGGCTTATACCATTAACCAAAAGTGATTTATGGCACCGACGTGATACATCACTTATTATATGCCTTGGTTAGTTTTTGAAATGTTGCAACCTAATTGGCTGGTGTTTTAAGAATTAACTAGGGAGTTGGTAAGGTCAACAAGTTTGTCTTTGGGATATGGTTTTTAAACTGTAAAATTTCTTTAAAAAATGAATTTGTCCTACAAAGAAGGGGTCAGGTAAACCTTAACTGTATCATGAAAGAAATAGTGTTGTTTTGTCCTCCATTTTAGTCTCCATGAATTGCTGAGACTTCTATTTCAATACGTTGATGTATTTAAAACTGAAATTGAATATTGAGTACTGGACGGGGCTTTCTTGTTGCGCTTAATTCCGGTTAGCGAGTATGTTTAAGAATAATGTGACTAAATCCATCAAACTGGTGTCAAGATGGAGGCAAGTGGTAGGATATGGGTCTAACTAGGAAAACTAGGCATTCACAATACATCAATTCGTCATTGATATCGCTATATGCGCATCCACAATAGTCGCATCGCAGAGTCTGCAATGTTAAATTGCTATTATAGTTGACCAGGAGCCACAGTCGAAAACACTCATTTATGGAGTCATTGAAAAGTTTAACCATAAAGTTAGCAAAAAGCTAATTATTTATGTATTGCATGTGAGGATTTGAAGTAGGGCTGGGCGATATGTCAAAAATGCAATCTGCATAATAATTTTCCATATTGAATAATAACGATGTATATTTCGATATAAGTTGTCAACGCTTCCAGATTTAAAGGAGTACTCAAACAATGACTGAAGCCACAAAAATAAGAGGGTCCATTCAATGGCGTAACATTTTCGGCTGATAATTTTTGGTGGCTGAAAATTCGGTGCATCTCTGACACACTTTTAGATTCCCATTGGTGCACATTTTTGCTGTGTTTAGAGCAATATAGATTAAAAAATCCAGAGCTTATCATTGTTGCGCCTGATTCACATGGGGCTTCAGTGTCCGCTTGACAAGAGCGTGCTGAAGTTGGGGCTTCAGCCACAGAAATTAGTCCGCAATGGAGTACTGTCTCAGCTGGTGTATTTGCAATTAAGTGATCTGATTGGGTGACGCCTCTGTTGGCACTTGAAAAGATGAGAAGTTCCCAGTTTCTACAGCAAGCAATGGCATTGAAGCAGCGCTGACGGATCCACAATGCAGTTCGGCAATGCCAGATATCACTCATTCAAAGGGAATGGGAAGCGTTGATGCTCCGCGTGAATGTGACATGTTATCGCGATTCGATATAATATCGTTTATCGGTGCCACCCAGCTCTAATTTCAAGTCAGTTTAAAAAATTCAGGCAAAATAAATTATGTTTGCAACTTGAAAGATTTAAAAGTATTTATGTAAATGATATAGACTAAGTGTTAATTTAAATTAATTATGTTTGCATACCTGCTCCCAGAAAACCATTTAGCACTGTACATTTTATTTTTATCTTTGCTCTATCGATGCTCATGATTGGCTTATTATATTTTATGCAGATTCAATCTTACAAAATCATCTCAATGCTTCATAATAAAATTCATAATTTAGCCATTCCCCCTGATCTATTCGTTATCCTCCATATTACAATAGAAACATAGAAATAGAAATAGAAATATCATTTTTTTTCTCTAATATCATGCAGCCCTAGCTTGTTTTCCCATTGGATAAACTAGCACAAATTAATTGTTCTCCTAAATATTAACAACAACATACGTTGTTTTCATTTGGACTTGATGTTCTTACCCATTTCAGAACATTTACATCGACATTTATTTATATAAAGTGCATCGGTCAGACAAGTCACTATCGCCTTTTTCTAATGAACTGCTTGTTAATAAATTCCTGTATTTCTCTTTCTCAATGCAGGTCTTCGAGGCAGCCCCCTTAACTATGGGATTTCAGAACTACTGAGGGCACTTTCACAAAAGGAGGGAGAAGGGGCCGGCACCGGGAACAAAAGGAGAGGATTGAGCTTTTGAAAAGAGGATCAGTTCTTTCGGCCCCAGCGGGGTGCATGCTGCCCCCTCAACTGGACGTCCTCTTTTGTACGAGCGAGGGAAAATAAAAGCAGGCATGCGCAATAAACTCAGAGAGTTCCGGGATGGGGGACGCCCCATGCTGGGACAGTGGGACAGGACTCTTGTGGTGCTGCTGATGGCTTTGGCGCTGACAGTAACGGACGTCCGGGCTTCCTGGGATCAGATGGAGGTTCTAGGAGATGTAAAGTTGGAGGCGTCTATGCACTCTGCCGTGCTTTCGGACATCCGGGAGGCGGAAGCAGTGGTTGCGGCAGTGTCACAGCCTAGCGGATTCCCAGACTCCTCTGCGGTGGTGGGCAGGGTGTTTCGATTGCAGGTGCCCATCAAAGCGAAGGACTCCGGGAGCATAGTAAAGGTGAGAGAGGCAGTTCCTTCAAAGCTTAAAATGCATTGCAAATGTATGCAAACAAATTTGTCCCCTCGGTGCTCAGCGGATCGTCCCCGGTATATCAGATAGCATCACATCAACACTCCCCAGCCAGTGTACTCAGTCAGTGCAAAAAAAAAAAAGACGTGACTTTGCCCCAAGCACTGTTCAAATCTTATTCTATGCTTTCCTTATGACTGATGGAGCATAAAATATGTTGGTCCCTGTAATAACGCAATACTACTCGCAAACACGTGGTCTGCATCCTTGATGGCGCGGAGCGCTCTGAGATCTGCGAACAGACATGCGGCGGTGCTTTACATTCAGATCAACGGCATAAACAAATCTGTTTGTTTACCAAAACTCAGTGTTTGTATTCCGCTTTGGAGTAGTTGATGCTACAATTGGTTTTTGTTTATACGTTTTTTAAAAATGCCTTTCTTTCTTATAGCTTATTTCTTGTTTCTAGACCAAGTATTTAAAATTGGTATGCTCTAAACAAGGATACGTTTCAAAAAACTAGTCTTTTTAAACAAGTTTTTCCCTTAAAACAAGCTAAATATCCTGCCAGTGGGATAAAAGTTGCAGACTCGTTTTTACTTTTTTATTAATATACTTTTTACCACTTTGACAGATAATTTTGCAATTTTTTAAAGAGAAACTTTGACTAGCAGGATAACTACAGATAATGGAATTTCTGGAATATCATGGAATATTAAAAGGTTCAGACATCGAAAGTCAGGGAATTATTTTAGTTTTTTTGTCCATGATATTAAGTGGCAAACATTTTTGTCAATTATCAATTAATAATTAATTACTTTCCATTTCTTAATGTTTTTATTATTAAGATTATTTTGTTATAACTAGTTTTACATTTTTGGTTAAATGTAGCACGATTGGTCATTGACTGAATTCAAAATATAGCTGTAATTAGGTTCCAAGGTAAGTTTAGTTTTTTGTTTTGGATATTTATTTATTTAAAGTCTTACATTGGTCATTATTAAGTGCATTAATTAATGTTGCATTAATCTTATGATTGGAATCGATTAAGAATAATGATGTTGATTTAAAAAATAATGATATTATTTATTTTATTTAATAATGTAATTATTACATGTAATGGGTCTACATTAATGCGAAAGGAGCTAAATTAAATAGTTACATTAAAAAAAAACAACAGACAGATAAAAGCCTTTTTATTTATTTACTTATTTAATCAGTTATTTATCTGTTTAGTTATTTATTTATTTATGTATTCAGTTATTTATTCGTTTGTTTGTTTGTTTGTTTGTTTTTTCATTCAGTTATTTGTTTATTTATTCATTTTATTTTTTTATTTGTTTACTTATTCATTTATGTATTTATTCATTTTATTTATTCATTTATTTATTTGGTTATTAAGTATTTATTTATTCAGTTAATTATGTATTTATTTATTCAGTTATGTATTTATTCAGTTAATTATGTGTTTATTTATTCAATTAATTATGTATGTATTTATTTATTTATTATTTATTTGTTTATTTATTTATTTTATTTATTTATCTATCTATTTATTTATTTATTCAGTTATGTGACCCGTGTTATTATCACGTTATAGTAAACACATAGCAATATCTTCAGATGCAGTACATTTGAATAGAACCAGGTTAAACTTTCTGACACCTTTACGGCACCCGCATACATTAAAAATAAATACAGGCCAAAACTGAACATGGGTTCTCCGAATGGCATTCTTCAAAAATAAACAATAAATAGACTTGTGTGTGTGCACCGTTGTGTCCAAGATTTATAGATTTATAACCACAGGGCATATTAGGGCTTGCGAGTCACTGGTGTTGTTATTTTGGGAGCTGAAAAGTTTGCAAACCCCTGTCCTAAACAAGTGTGACATGACAATTAAGGATATGTTATTTTTAATATCTGCTCATTGCTCAAAGATCATAAAAATTCTGCTTTTTAGCCAGCAAAAGTTGGTGAATATGATAGTTTACTTGGAGTAGTTGTCTAGAAAGTGCTTCTTGATTTAAGAATAAATACACATTTGGACTAGAAGCAAGACTTAAACTCGTAAGCAGTAAAATAGTTTATTTTCCCATGTACAAAGCCCAACAAGGTATGCGCGGCTTTCGTCTGTCAGCTCGCATTTCTTGGAAACCAAGTGCTCCAAACACAATGAAGCATCTCTTTTTGTTGTTGTTGTTGACCACCCAGCAGTTGATGAGACCTTTTTAAACCATCCAGTCCATGTCAACTGTTGTTAAAAGCGTGACCCCCGTCCATATCTGTTCATTGTGTTTCTCTGTCCCGTCTGAATGTTGGGCGGCTCTCCCAGGCCTTCAGTGTAATCCTACATTCACTGGATCATTTCTGCCCTGTCAAGCGCATTTTTTAAGTTGAAACCACAAGCCCTTTTGTGCACTTTGGGAAAATCTGTCTTGACAGCTGTGCCGGAGAATCTAACGCCCAACAGTTAAAGCTGCCTACAGCTGTTCCCCTACATAGCCATTCAGACCTGTCCAGTACACAATCAACTTCCTCTTTCATTCCTTCACACCATTTACAATCAGATTAACAAACTATTATTATTATTTTGTGTTTTTGAAGTCTCTTAGCAGCTGTAGTTGAAATTCACCCTCTACCTTATGTGTTTTATTACTTGGATTGTGAAGGTATTGTGCACAGACTTAATAATTATAGTAGTAATAAATATATAGGCACACTGCATTCTAGGGCTGTACAATCATTTGAGCATCGATATTGCAATGCAGGATCTGCATTGTTTATTGGGATTATATAGTTTAGGATTATATATATATATATATATATATATATATATATATATATATATAAGAAGAAGAAGTGTCTTTTATAAATATCTAATAAAATATTATTTACTGTCATGGCAAAGATAAAATAAATAAGTTATTATAAATGAGTTATTAAAACTAATATGTTTAAAAATGTGTTGAAAAAAATCTTCTTTCCATTAAACAGAAATTTGGTGTGTGTATGTGTGTGTGTGTGTGTATATGTATATATATATATATATATATATATATATATATATATATATATATATATATATACTGTGATATAACCGCGATCGGATCGCTTTCTCACTGCAATCGAACCGCTCCAGGGTTCGTTTCAATCAAGCCAAGACCACCTCACTCAGGCAGTCTCAGAGCGATTACTTTGGTGCAGAACCGAGCGCGATTGCCCTGTTCACATATGCCAAACGAACCGCGCTAACTGGGCAAACGAGACCGGTTCCGAAACAAAAGTGTAGGTGTGAAAGCACCCTAAGTTGGCAGTTCATCCCGCTGTGGCGACCCCTGATAAATAAAGCGACTAAGCCGAAAAGATAATAAAACATAAACATAAAGCAATTAAGTTGTGCCTAAAACATCATTTGACATGAGTCGTATAAACAGACATCATGTTTGATTAGCTCTTCTTACTGCATATGAAACGGCATTGGAGCTTTTTTTGAACGCTTAAATTCTTTAGTATCTTGTTTAGCCAGTCAAGTCCTAATCCCTCTGTTCACGCCAAAGCCCATCAGTAAGATTTCCACGAAATACTCCGACCCTCAGATATTCATAAATAACCTACTGTGCAAAAGATCCTTTTGAAGTTACTGACCTACTTCATGCTTTTACATTTCTTGCCTCCATTTTATCAAAAGTAACCAAGGGGATGCGCTTAAACGAGAAAAAGCCAACTCATCTTTTAAATAATAATAATAAAAAAAAAAACGTTCTGTTGTCCTGTTTTTGAACACTAATAAATAAAAAAAACAACATCCTTAAATGTCAAAGCCAATTGACGAACGCTCAGTCATACTCGGATAAATAGAGCCAGCTGTTTTTACATGCTTTCTGTTTGAGCGAACGACGACTCTCGGTGCTTTTCATTTCTCTGAATTCCTCTCCTCCTTCACACTCGTCCGTGACGGCAGGATTCTTCGTCTTCTCCTCCAACCCCTCCCTTTTTCAGCACAAAGACTGGCACTGAAACCTAATTAGCCTCGGCAGCGAGGCAGTGGAAAAGTTGTATTCCTGCAGCCGATAATACAGAAACGCCATCGGAAATATGAGTCATTGACAGGGAAGAGATGCACGTTTAGTTGCCAATCGATGCAGTTTTGGGTCTCGTGCACGCATATTCTCTCTCCTTCATTTGTTATGATACAGTCTGCATAGCAACCAGGGTTGTGCGGTCGGCTAGGCTAGAATTACTCCGCCGCAGAAAACTGCCCTTTAAAGGGGGCTTTCATTTCAGAAACAAGGACTTCAGTTTCTTTTTTTGGTGGATTTAAAAACAAAGGAAGCAAAGCACAGCCCTCGGCTTGCTTGAGTGAATGAGTCGGCTTCCCTGTGGTTCTCTTTACGTCCACTAGAGGGCAGCTAGGGGTCGACTTGTTAAGTGTCCTTGACTGTTCTCCTTGTGATTGTCTCAGGGAAAAAATGGAGCTCGGTGTGTTTGCTCCATAAATAAGCTTTTGTTTAAGTATTTATCCCTACTTTTCGCTATTTCTGTAGAGTCCCGTGTTTAATTTAAACGTCTGCACGTATTTATGACTCTGTCATTTCTCTCTCTCTATTTCTCTTTCATAACATTTTGTTAGCAATCCATGATGAAGAACGCTGCTTGCCATTCATGAGTTTTATCTTCGCTCTCTTTTTTTTTTCCTTCACGTTTGCTGTTTTTTCCTTTGTTCACGCTTGTACCACAGCTGGGATCAAAAAGCTGACATTCCCTCTTCACTGAATAGCAATTTAAAGTTGTATTACAAACAAACAGCAGCTCTCCCGCCGAGCTTTTTTATTCTGCTTCCTTCCCCTGTCTGAATAAAAAAAAAAAAAAACATGTCTTTCATTTGATAACTTTCATTCACCACCACGTCGTCGCCATTGGCCACTTGAAGGCTGTTTTGATTTCTGCAGCTCGGTCGCACAATTGGCAAATCCCTCTGTCTCTCT